TTTCTAAAGTGCATAAACTTTTGGGATTAACTTTATAGCCAATACATCCCTAAGAAACATTTAAGAATTACTTAGGTATTTATAAATTCGAATGATGTACGACTTTTTGCCACGTCAAATGACTTCAATGTGTATTTCGTAAATGAACGCGAGGAATAATTTGAAGAAGCATTTGGAATCAATTCGCAAATGGTATAAGTTTTTTACCATGAGTTCATAACTTTGTTGGCGTAATAAGATTGCGAAGCCTTGCGAAAAGGTTTCAGCGTTTGAATACGCCGTTGCGCCTTAACGCGTTGACTTCAATAGCATCTCATCAAGATTAAAAAAAACCTACATAGAAGTTTGATTACACTGCGAGGTATCGTGATCCCAGTAGATTCGACGTAAGCTTTTAAAATAACGCAGCAATAACAAAATAATAATCGACTAATTAAGGAATATACATCAAATAGTTTCGTCACGATCTACCTTCCACATCAGCTTTTCAATCAGTCGAATTTTTCTAAATCCGACCAACGTTTGATACGTAATTGGCATTTATACGGCCTGTAAGTAACGCGCTTGAAAATCAGGAATCATCATTCGCCAAGAGAGGGAGAGAGACAGTTGCAATAAAATATTGTCCCTAATTCATGCTCGAGTGAATCGATCTGTCAATCACTATAACATTATCAAAAATACATCCTTTCATGATCTATGACGTGCCGTGCGGAGACTGATGAGGTTGTAAAAATTCTAGTCGGCATTCCGAGGTACTTGACCGGCATACTTGTCCACAATGATGTGTGTCAGACTGCCGCAATTATGAAATCAAGCATGAAACGTATGTCAAACTAAAGATACAGTATGCGTGATGTCAGCCAACAAGTACTGTCTGAAATAGAGATTAATAGATCTCATTGCATAAAATTCCTATAATATTTGTGTCTAATGTGTTTCGTATGTAATTTGATTGTTGTTATAAATCGCTGAAGCTCGTTCGATTCCGCAGTCGCGTACCTTTTGGAAACAACGAACGTTTCTAAGCGTCAGGGGTGAATCGGCGTGAAAAAGGATCTGTCATCCCTCGGGTCAGAGGGGCCAGCGAGATTAACGATAACGTGACTGCGTTTCTGCCAGTCGCTTACTCACGGAACCGTTTCGTTCCGGGAACGGTGCACCACGTAGTACTTCGTTCCAGGTAAAAACGCATTAATTAGATTTCCACTTAGCCGCCCTCTTCCTACCATCACCGGCTGCGACGCTTGCCGCGCTGTTCAAAGTGAAGCCTGTGAACGCCTCAAGGTCGCGGATACCTCATCGACGCTGGAATTCGACGCCGCCGAGTCTCGAATTTCGAGCAGGAATGAGCGGGGCTAGCGGCCGGTTCGAGGAACGAGAACCAAACGGGGTGGAGGTGAACGCGTCGCGAGGTTCCAGCAGGAATTATTTGCCAGAAGAGTATTAGGCGAACATTTACAACTGAACGAGATTAGAAAATACAAAATTTTGGCGGATGTAATTTTAGCTGGTAAAAAGGATCAGAAAAGGAAATTGAAAACAAGAAAATGGCAAGTAAAGTTGGAAATGAAAGGGAAAGACGAAGTAACAAATTTGTAAGTTAACGAGAAAGGGGAGATACGAAGCAGAGTGAAGTAATGATAGGATAGAAAAAGTAGACCTGGAAGCAAAGAGCGTACGAAGTCTTCGTTCCTTTTCCAAAAAGTGGACGAGCAAAGGGCTGCTGGATGCAATTACGGTAATGAACGGCAGAAGGGCGAGATACAAAGCAGCCGAGGACGTATTAGTAGAACTGTAAAAGAAAGAGACCAAGGAGACAGGGCTCGGTTCGAGCAAGAAAACGTAGACGGACAAAAAGAGAAGAGGTTTAGAAAGAAGACCGCAGGACGCGAAAGATGAGCGAACTCGGCGCAAAAATGAACTGTAAGAGAAAGAAGAAAGGTGAAAAGTAGAACGAAAAAAGGAAGAGGCCGACCGAAGGGAGGATACGAGACAAGAGAAATGGAGTATGTCGCAAGTAGATCTTGGCGAACGGTGAAACTTTGTAGCTACAAATTACTCGCCATATGGTGCACTTGGCTATCGCTAGAGGCTTCCAGTTTATGCAAATTACGCGTGACTTCTGTAGAAAGTGGATGAAGAAATCTTGGAGGCTCTGACAGAGGCTCGTGATGGATGTTTGTATTAATTTAAGTGAAAACCGGATTGAACTTCAATCCCTCATTTGGCGGTAACTCAGATTTGAAAAAATTCTAATTGATGATTTTTCAATGCAGTCACTAATAAATCATCCGAGCCAAAATACAGGGTATCTATTACAAGGAAATGTTGCAATTTACTGACACGTTCCTAATACAACCAGCATTAAATATTACATCGTAATTACCATCTTGCACAATGGAGGACTAAGATGTTTACGACTGTAGCGAGAGTTAAGCAGGAAGACATTAAAAGAATAATGGAGCGTGGGAAGCAGCCTTAAAAATGGCGAGCAACAAGAAGTGTCAGGCAACAGAAGAGGACGACGATTCAGATAAAAAACTTCAATGAACCGAGGGAGGAAGGGAAGAAAGTACATGATAAAAAGAGGAGAAAAGTTCGCAGAGCATAGAACGAAGTGAAGTGGAGAACTGAAAGTACATCGTGCACCGCCATAACCTTTTATCATTTATCTAATTAGCCATTGCATTTAATTAGCGACCCAAGGAGGGGAGATAGAGTATTAGGCAAGACCGACACACGGTTCCTTCTTTCTCTCTCTCTCTCTCTCTCTCTCTCCCTCTCGTGTTCCCTCCGTAGTAACGCAATTTTAATCGGCGCTCAGATAACGAAGGGTCGACGGATGGACCAGCATCCGCAGAGCTCGCAATTAGCTGTGTTTTTATTTATTCAGTACCGTCGCGACGAGCGCGAGTCTCCTTTGATTTTCAAATAACGCCAGCCTTCGAAGACCGTTAATGAAATCGCCTCGACTCACCTTCATCGGGTCCTCGATGAAGCCGCCGATGGTCATCACGTGTAGGGTAACCTCGCGCGTGTTCTCCAATTCCTCCGGCGTGGCGTACAGACCCTCGCTGACGAAATAGGGCTCGGGACACGTGAGCCTGCAAACCGATCAGGAAATTACATGAGAGAACTATTAACATCGCTATTTCAAATAATCACATTACAGCATTTTATGAGTAATACAATTAAAAAACTTCCATTGTTATCTCCGCATGTTATTTAAACTTATTTCTGAAACATGAATTATTAATTACATATATAATTGTACTGTTACNTCACCTTCATCGGGTCCTCGATGAAGCCGCCGATGGTCATCACGTGTAGGGTAACCTCGCGCGTGTTCTCCAATTCCTCCGGCGTGGCGTACAGACCCTCGCTGACGAAATAGGGCTCGGGACACGTGAGCCTGCAAACCGATCAGGAAATTACATGAGAGAACTATTAACATCGCTATTTCAAATAATCACATTACAGCATTTTATGAGTAATACAATTAAAAAACTTCCATTGTTATCTCCGCATGTTATTTAAACTTATTTCTGAAACATGAATTATTAATTACATATATAATTGTACTGTTAGTTTGTAAGATTTTATTTGGAGAATCAGATATTAAGTATGAATCTTGACAAAGTGCCTTATTCATGAGACTGGAGACCAATAAAATAGAAGGGTACGATAAATAATGTGCGCGCATCTTGGCGAAAAAGGGATAGAGACTAGGCGAGAAATATCGAGCCACGGCGAGATCGCGTGATCGACTAACATCAGTTTCTAGCCTGATTCCAAACTGTCGGAACCGGCTCGAAAATTTCCAATTGCCGCGTAATCGACGGAACATCCGCTATAACTTCTCGTATAAACTGTAATATTTTGCAAATGAGTCAGTTTTTGTCGAATTAAAGTAACATATAAAATAGCCATTGGGAATCTTTAAAAAAATGTTTAAATTGCCAGTACTAGTTTTTTATCGCCAAGTAGATAAAAACAGGAGAACCGTTCATCTGATTAATTAAACGCGACGCAATAATTTCGCTACGAATAGAACGGTAGCGATGAAACGGCGTGGAGCAGGACTGCTAAACAACCCTAATTCAATCTACCCATCTACCTCGTAACGCGCTGCCGAGGATCTATGGCTGTTAACGAAGCCACGCGAATCGGTTCGTTATTAACAAGCTGATAGGTCGTTAAGTCGTTCGAAATTGACCGCTAAAGCGATAAATCAACAAACGGGGTGAGGGTAAGGACGAGAACGGGTCTCCTTCTTATTCCCTTTTCGGAACACGGGATCCGTATTCAATTATCGGGCACGGAGTTACGCTCCCAGCAAACAAAAACCCGGGTCCCGGTTTCCTGGACACCGTTCACGAGTCCCTTTCAATTAGAAACGGTGTGTGAAAATTAATTACCGCCGCGAGACTGAACCGGTCCTAGGCCATACGAAATAGCTACTCCCACGCGATATTTTACAAGCGGCGCGAGCGTGTATAATTAACTATTTATCCGTGGCAATCCGCCGGTGCCTTTCGCGTGCCTTTTGCCACGTAACTAATAGATCCCTCGATACGGGGATCGATCAATCGCCCACGCGACCGGTGAAATCAGAATCAGTTTCACCGTCAATGTTTATCAAGGATTCTTTCGCCCGACCTGTTGCAATCTCCTTTCAGTAATTTGATTGAGTGCATTTATAGAGAAATACCTGCAGAAAATATAAGGTATACAATGCAACATTATTTTTAATCGATAAGACAAAAATCTAAGTAGGTTAGGCTCGTTAGATGTAATCGCGATTTAAATGAATATCGTCGATGGTCTAATAAATACCGTTTAACCCTCAACGTACCTGCTAGATTACTTCGCATAGTTACTATTCACCGCGATTAATTTGCAAACGACCTTTGAGACCATCCGCGTCGCGTCGCGGAAAACGCAAACGCGTATTAACTACTAACGATAGCACCTTTCGATGGCTCATTAATTTATCCGCTCGGTCCCCATGAATCACCACCGCGGCACGCTTTGATAACGATTTTCTGACAAACATTTTCTAATCATTTTCCCACGTGACAGTCGCTCGATGATTGAAACGAAATTCAATCAACATACCACGTTTATGCAAAACTTTATGTTCAATCGCGGTTCATCAAGGGGTTATTACTAACTGAGAATGTTTTACGACCAACATGAATTTTAATCCATCTTACAATGCGTAAAAATAAAAACTAACGGATTGTTATTTCGCAACTCGCACGATTGCAAACATTATTTATTTGAATGTCTATACTCTTTCGATAATCCACTTTGCCAATAAACTCCAAGCCTCTTACGCTGATACGCGCATTCACTGTGTCGTCGTTTCGTGCACAATATTTCGTACGATTCTTATTTATGAAATATTTGAGTCACGTTCCCGGGCTCTGGAGAGAGAACTCCTATTTCTTTACGGTCGGTAATAACAATAATAATAACTGGAATGGAGACGCAAGAAACGTGCGATACAAATGGTTACAAATCCGTAATTTATTTGCCGAGATAAAAGGTTAGCGACGTTGCGACATTCGAAACGAACCGACGTCTACGGATAATGACACTAAAACTGGCACAATCCACGCTTCATTTCCCGATGTAAAACAGTATTCATTGTAAATCATTTTTATTGTACGATGTTAGAGTAAACATTTCCTCGGCTCAAGACGGAATTCCGATCATCTTCTCTAATTACTTTAAGCGACGATAGCTCACCGGCTCGTTTCAATATTTCACTGTCCCCGTAATTGCATCGTCGCAATTAAATAACGCAACCGGTAATTAATCGCGACACCTGCCCCCCCACTGATATTTTCTATACCAGATCTTAACGGGCGTTATTAAAATTATCCTTGGTTGACTCAAAGTGCATCCGCCAATCGCGCTCCATTCGTTTTTCCTCGCGTCAAGCAGAAGGAGAATGTCGACGGAGCAGCTTTTCACGGAATCAATGCTCATGATAAATGATACAGCTCCTATAGTCGATTGCGCATAAGCGAAATTCTAGCTATGGTCATCGACTAGTTGCAACCGCTCCAGAATGCTTGATTCGCAGGATAAAGGAAAATGATGAGGAAACGTCAGTGGATTATTTCATGTTGAACTTTCACAGACGAAAAGAATGCGTGAAACTACGCCTGTGTCGGAACGACTTAATAAAAATACTTTGATTTAAGAAAATGAAAGTGGAATTTGTTTATAGAAGTGGGTATCGACAAGTGATCGGCAATATCAATAGGTTCCTTAGTTTGTCTTTAAAAAGTCCAGGCTCGACGTTCGTTTCCTGTTACGCAAAAATCCTAATCCAACTGCGTACAGGGTAATTTGTAATAAATTCCAGGCACGGACTGAGGAAATCGATTCGCACGCACGAGCACCCACACGGTGTCATGGGAAACCATGTGGGCGCCTCTATCCGCTTGTCATAACTATATAAAACCAAGTAAACGCATGTGTGTCAAACCTCGTGCGATTAGATACATTGTAGACCAACTACGATATCCACAAATACATTCTTAATAACAGTAATTAAGTATTTTGCATGTAAAATAAGATATCCTGTAGCTACTTTATTAAAAACGTTAGAAAGTTTATACGCGGGGAAAGATCGAAGTTGCGTGTTATTTATAATGCTTGTCGTAATTATATAGAACCGAGTTAACGCACGTGTGTCAAACCTCGTGCGATTAGATACATTGTAGACCAACTACGATATCCAAAAACACGTTCGTAATAACAGAAATTAAGTAGCGTTTGCACCTACAATAAGACATTCTCTAGTTTTATTAAAAACGTTAGAAAGTTTATGCGCGGGGAAAGATCGAAGGTGCGTGTTATTTATAACGAGCGTTCGGAGAAAGCGGATATATCATCGCGGGTAAGAATATGTCGCTAATTTGGAAACAAATGTGTTTGCGTGGCGAGTTAATGTAACACCGCCGCCGTAAATCCTTCCGATCGCGGTGCTTTATCATTCTGATCGCGGCTATCTTTCAAATTACTTACGCACCGGCTAAATTACTCGTGGTTCTTAGAATTTTTGATGGATTCGCTTGAAACTTGAAACCCTGAGCCTGTTCCATCAGAAGAAACAATTACACGAAAGTATCTCCACAAATCATCGATAAAAAGGATTATGAGCGCGAGCAAGATATTGTTTTTAATAAACAAGATACTATTTGCACTAACAATTTCACTGAATGAATTATATGATATCAAATTTTGGTTTGAAGAAACGGCGGGGGCGTCGTTTACGGGCTAATAAAACGCAGTCGCATCGGCTCAGGCTGACGCGGGAGAACGTGAACCTATGAATCAGACAGTCTGACCGCATAGCCAGCCGCAGCGTTTCACGTGCGCACGTGGTCGCGGATGAGGCAGCCTAGCTCCACTCCACGTTCGGCTTCCACATCTGCACGAGTCGCCGCATGCGTGAAATCAGGGTGCGGCCACGTGTTAACCTCGCCTCCCTCCCGCGTCCCAATACTTCGCGTTTTCTTCGCGCCTCGCCCTCGTCCCTCGCCTCTTCTTCCTTCGCTCAACCCTTCACACGTCCATTTAGCAAATTGATTTCACAACCAAACTAGTTCTGTAATTTTTTCAGAATTCTCAATTGTTTATTTCAAAGAATCTATTACGAGTGAAGATCAACTGACCGATTATTTATAAAAATTTGTCATGTTTTCAATTTAATAGATCATTTAATTGTAACCCTGGTTTTCTAATTTCATTCGAAATTCCTGATGCCTTCAAATGAATTTAAAATTAAGCGAAGAACAGAATCACAATATTTGCCACAATCAGTTATCTTCGGAGCACTGAGCTTTAAGACTCCATTATTCCCATCCGGACAACCATGTAACCAATTCGTCCCTCTCTGCGTGGCTCTCTTCGCGTTCGTACGCACGCTAATTGTCCGCGCATACTGCTCTACTCGCGTAAAAATAATGCAGACAGTACCATGCAAAAGTATGCAATAACAAGTCAACACGTGCTTATCTTATTACATTAAATATCCAATTCCATTTCATTTATTGTGTATCCAATTTCACGACTACTAATTATGTATCATAACTGAGTTGAATTAATCAAAATCTGATCATCTTTTAATAAGTTAAATTTGCTTATCAAACTGAAATACATTTATTTTGCAAACAGTTACTATGAATTTTACAAACAATATAAAGTGTATAAATAATAACATATAAGATTGTAATGAACTATCGAAAAGATTGATATAATAATTAATTATTTAAGACTTTTAAAGAGTACTGTACATGGACTAAGAAGCCGTCACTATTAGGCGCAAACGTGAACGCGAACGCCTCGAGTGTCTACCGGGTGGTCGCGAGGCGAAATGTCAAGCCCTCGATC